TTGGTGATATAAATTTCTCTGTATCCAATGATATTAAGATTGAGGTGACTACACAAGGTGAAAAACATGATGGGAATCAAGCAACTGAACAGCAGAGGCATACCCCATTATGTTACCACAAGGAGAAAATAAAAGTTGTCGATGAGGCTTCAGAATAAGCAAATCGCGTGATATTAAAGAACTCTAGAATCACACCTCGGATGATCATATTAGAGTCTCAGCTGGAGCTACGTGACCGCTAAAGCGATCCCGAAGCTCCCAGATAAGTACAACGAAAAACGTTTCAGAATAGCGCTAGAACAGCGATTCCACTGTACTTCTGTAAAAAAAAATTGGTCATCAAAATTAGCTGAGGAACGGCTGAAGTGAGACCATTTCGACGAGTCGTAGACGAGTCGAAGTGGTCTCGGTTCGGCAGTTCGTACTACTATACTGTAAGTCTTGGTTTAAATAGTCAGGGCCGCCCTAAGATGTTTCGCGAAACGGAACAAATCATAATTTCACAGTCCTTGTTTTTTCCTGTCTTAAAATCTTTGGGGCCATGAGCTCCTTTGGTCAGAAAATTGTTTAGAAAACTTTCAAGAATATTAGCGACCTTAAATCTTGATAGTCCGTGTGTTGTTGTGCGGACCCGATATCGTTCACTTTCATTAAGCATGTCTTAGATCTGAAATATTTTGACAGGAACTAACACTTTCAAGCACGCTGAGTTCAAATCCGAAAGTCCCCACTCTGTAGACCCGCAGTTTTCTCACAAAATGCTATTTTACCTTCAATAATTTCACGACAAATTTTTCATTGTTCAACGACACGGATCGATGACGATACACGATTATGTCACTCAAAGGACCAATTTCTATTAACCAGTCTTCCATTTAGCAAAAGACCGGTTTTGCTCGAATCATTTTGAGTTATGCAATCTTATGCGTGTTGGACGTAAACAATATATCTTGTTTACAACTTTGAGAAGTACAGTTAACGCTTTCCAAAATCCTCAGCTCAGTTCTAGAGATATCTCTATAAAATCACAAGGACATTAATGCGAAGTCTTTTGGTTATGTCGCTGGCCTTAAAAATAACTCTTTTAACGCGATCAAGGTATTTAAAACAAAGGTAATACGGCAAAGACAACGCGAAAATGAAATGCTGTCAATTGGTTGCTGGTAGAACACTTACGACAGGATCAATCTTAATCTTAAACTATAAGAATAAATGTTCACATCAAAGAGATCAGTCCCAAAGTATAAAATATGCTCTGTAAACTTACTACGAAGTGGAGAAATGTGCGCATGAGCTGTTTATTTGGCGATTTCAACGTATATGGAAGCCGTCTTTCCAATAATATTTGCTTATCGCACATGCAGTATAACACCAACTGATGTAATAGTTCAAAAGCAATGATAAGTTATCTCTTGAATTATACATCTCAGAAACTGTGTTGGAAATTTAAATGCTGATCCATTACATATAGATTACCGTTTTACATCGTTGTATAAAACATTTTGATCGCATATAACCAATTATTTCTCAGCCCAGAGACATAGCCCAAAGACTTAACATTAACGTCCTTGTAATTTTATAGAGATTGATCCAGAACTAAGGATATTAGAAGGAATTATCTGTCCTTCTCAAAGTTGTAAACAAAATATGTTGTTTTAATTACGTCCAACACGCATAAGATTGCATAACTCAAAATAATTCGAGCAAAACCAGTCCTTTGAATTTAGAAAAATTTTAGTCTTTTGAGATTTTTTAAAGTCGTCAAATAAAGTCAAATTTTTATAATATAAATAATTTTATGAAATAAAAAATTGGGATCACCAAACTCGTTTAAGAGTTAAGTTACTTTAAAGAAGAAAAATCCGCTATATCGAAATGTCATCGTCTCCATGGCAACTGCAGTTACGTGAGTTTTGTAAACTTTGTTTTAAAATTCGAACTCTACCGATGTTACTTTGTTAAACTCGGACACGCTTTGTTTTCCAACAAGTAATTAGTGTCCAAAAAGGCAAAATATCGGACGCAAGTTAGTTTTAGATTGTTTCAGACAGTTTAATAGCCCTGTAGTAGTTTTAATACAAAACTATCTTCATAGTTCATAACATGTATTTAGTTATTTTACTAAATTGTTTTTTTTGCATTTTTCTAACCGTCGCAAGTCTCAGTTTTATAGACTTTATTTACTTATCTTTATATACTTTTATGTATAATAAAACAATTATTGGATTCCGCTCGCCGTGCTGTCAGAAGAGGGTATGGAACTGGGTTAGGCTAACGTATTCAGACCCATTCTGGTACCCAGAGCCCTTCTTACGCGCGTTCGACCGAGCGCGACGAGGGGCTCTGGCCAAATCCATAACCGGATACCATAGAAACGTGGTAAGAGAACAATATCCGGTATTAGAACTATGGCCAATCAGATGCCAGTTTGATATGGATTTGGCCAGAGCCCCTCGTCGCGCTCGGTCGAACGCACGTAAGAAGGGCTCTGGGTACGAGAATGATTCAGACCTATATATTGTTATTCTCTTCAGTTTAGCTGATCGGCAAATAACTTTGACCTCACATGAATAATTAACAGTTATTCTACGAACTCGAGTCGAATATGAGCTGATAGCCGATGAGGCGCGTAGCGCCGAATCGACTATCGTTCATATTAGACGAGAGTGAGTGGAATAACTGTTTTATTATATACACAAGGTCTGAATTCACAGACTTTGCTTTTCGAATATTTTCAATATTTTTCTACTTTGTTTATGTTTTTATCTTCGCCCTTTCGGCCGATTATTTTTTCAAAAATATATATTTTTAACCATTTTAAATTTTAAAAATTAATTTGCTAACCTGTAAACAATTTGTGGGAGTTTTTTATTGTGTTTTTAATCTTGAAAAAGCTATAAAAAGCGAACAACTTGCCGTTTTCTCGTTTGCAAACGTCGGAAATTCAGTTTGAGCCGCCATTTTGTTTTTCTCTACTGGCAGGATAGGAGCTAATATCCTGCTAGTAGAGAACCAATCAGATTGCAGAATACCTCATATCCAGACCTTGTGTATATAATAATTATATATATCATGCTCAGCCTCGCTGCCCCTATGCTTAAAAATAGTGGTTGTCAGAACAGTTCAGACCGTGTTCTATTCCATTCCATTATAGTGTTCTGAGAATCCGGAGTACTCCCGACAGAGAATGGATTTCAAAATTTTCCGGGGGATGCCTCCGGACCCCTAATCATAGTGTTGTAGAACATGGAATCACAACAGCCCGCAAGTCAAACTTTCTCCTGGGTCCCCAAATTTCCCTGAGAGCTGTGCAGTGTATGTTCGTTTTGGCATTTTTGAATATGAATTGTAGCCTGCTTTGTTGTTACACATTATAAGGGTGTGTTCAGAAATTTTCTAGGGCGTGCTTCTAGTGCTCGGCTAAATTTTGCACAAAAATGTGCAGTGATAAAAAATTCTTAAAATTAGGTATGATCATAATGATAAATTCGCGGCATCTAACTCCTAACACTAACCACTAACCCGTAACCCTAATCTAACTTTTTTGAAAATCTGACAAAATAAACTTATCTTTTTAAACTTTTTAAAAACTTTTCAAAAACTTTTTTAAAACTTTTTTTTAGAAAATCTTGAGTCCTTGCGAAGGTTTTTACAGAACTACAGAAGAATGTTTAATGCTGATATAGAGTTATATAAAACGCTCGTAAAAGTTCGAAATTGTGTGAAATACTCGCCCTTCAGACAATAGACATACATACATTCTCTTTATGTTGTTCATGTGTCACACCAAAGCTAATATATAGGTCTCATTCTGTTAACTGTGGTCACACGAAAGTGTAACCAGCACACCAACAGCGCAATGCGTCATCCATGTTCACGCATGTCGCACTACAAACATATTACACTGCACAAAATACTTTCATTACTTATCTGCCCGTTGGTTTATATACAGCTCTATTAATTAATGAGATATTGTGATTCACTATAAATAAACGTCGCTTACAGCTGCGTCGCGACGATTTATCGGGAATATACATGCTATATAATGTCATATTTAACAAATATAAAACATTTTCCGTGTTGATATACAGTTATATCAACACGAGTGGAAATTGGGAAAACGAGAAATTGTGTGGAAACACGCGACGCCCTAAGGGCGGAGTGTTTTCACACAATTTCGAGTTTTCCCATTCTCCACGAGTGTTGATATAACTGTATATATCAATACGGAAAAAATGCTTTATATTTGTTTTATAATATAGCACAAAGAAACATAAAGAAAGAAATTTTCCGACGTTTCCGTGTTGACATTGAGTTATATCAACACGGCTCTTAGCCAATCAGCGTTCAGAATTTAAAATGCTATGTTATAAAAAAATGTAACACATTCTTATTGATAGTAATGTTAAAATTAGGAAGGTCTTTATTCGAATTGCTTCCCCACGAGCCTTCTTCGCCAAATTCATTGTCGCTTACTGCATCGCTAAACGCCAGAAGTAATCCGAGCAATAAACAACTAGATATTAGCCCTGTTGACCAAAACATTGCTAACACAAATCGTCGAAATCACATTCCAGGCTTTCAGAATCCGTGCGAACTTCTGTCGTTTACGCATGATTTAAATAATACAGCCGCTGTATATTCCAACCACGGGTTCGCCGTAGTAATAATAGAGACCTTACGATTTTAGGGGGTAGCCTCGGCAATGCAAGGCTCCCTCACCCCCGTAGCGTCGGGCCTGGTTGCTTTATATTTTAAAATAACAGTCTGTAGGAAACTATCTCATGCGAACAGGATAGAGCTATAATACTTTTGTTTTTGGAGACACCACGTGAATTTATTACTGCAAAACTTTATATGTTAAAAACTATTGTATGTTTTATCACCATGCAAACTTACAAAGAGCTTGGGATAGAGCTAATTGTGTCGACGACCAGTCTCGGTCACTATGGGAAGTCAAAATAATATGTGAACCGTTAATAGTATAAGATTATGTTTACTTACCGCTGCGATAGCCGCTGCTCTAATGGAGTTAGGTTTGAGAGAATCTCTGACGTGGCTCTCTTTGTCCACTCTGGTATTCCTTGGTAGGAATTAAGCAATAGTTTCGATGCTTCTCCAGATCTTCTCTTGTTGAGCATCACCACCCTCGCCAAAAGCAGCCTCGCAAGTGCGGTCCAGTTTTTGGACGTTGGGGATAGCTTCAGTTGCCTGGAGTTTTCAGTTATCCCCTGTTCGACGAACTTTCTCAGCTTTCGCATATCTTCTGCCAGAGGAAGGACTTGTACAGCATTCATCTTCCGTTCTTTCAATGTGGAAAGGAGTGATGCGAGATCTTCCCACTCCGACCTCATCAATTTTTGAAAGTATTTTATCTCATTTGCCACCAAGTCATTCCTCGCACGAATCGCTTGATTGTGAAGAAGTGTAGCACACTTCAATAGAGAATGCCCGAGCTTTAGTGCGAGTGATGGGATGTTGACTTCTTGCTGGCTAAGATTTGGCGGCATAAAGTCAGTGGTCTCCATAACAGTTTTTACTATTATATCAAATTTCTCCGGCTTTATGAAGTCGGACAACTGGACCGCCTCATTATTTTCCACGACCATTAACTGTTGTAGGAGGCGACCCAGTTCCCTCATCTTTTGGGAGACCAACTGGCGATCCCTTTCTCCCTCTTTCTCTAAACGAAATGCCCCAAGCATCTTTATTAGGTCGTCCTTCCTCACAATATCTGCAATCACACCGTGATTCATTGAGCACAGGATCTTATTAAGCACTGAGTTGTCGCTCCCTGTTAGTATAGGAGCTATCAACAGTTTGGCTGATTGCTGCACCTGTCTGTTGCTGTGTTGGTGAGATGACTCGGGGGTTTTATGTTGACATGAAGCCTGGTGCTTCCACAAGCCCAACTTGCGGAAAAACCCCGAACAAAACTCGCAGAGAAGAAAGTCCTGTACGTTTTTCTTCGTCTCGTCCTGCCCTGGTCTTCTTGCAGTAATTAACTCGTCTTCACCCGTCGCCAGTGTATTCATGTTGTGGTGGTAATCACCCTGGAGACGAAGCTTGGTCAATACTGCTTTCTGCTCGGACGAGTTTTTTCTATGTCCCAAGGCCGACAACTTCTTCCTCTCCCTTGTGCTTTGTAAGCAGATGTCTCCCGATCTTTGCACACAACAGCCCGCAGTATGTGCACGCGTGCCTTCTGTCGTATACTCGGCAGTTATATTTGGTCTTTTTCGTGACATTTACTTGGACTGCAAAAGAAAGAAAAGTATAATACAGTCATGACCTGCATGGGGCCGGTTGTATAAAAAGATAGTTGTCTATAAACTAGAGTTTTATAATCCGTTAGCACACGTCAGATTTGTTTACATTTCTATCAAAACAATGAAATTTATCAACGAAGTTATGGCAGTTTTATATATTTTCCTGTTTCCACAGTAATATAAATTATCAAAGTAGCACAGTCAAGCATTTCAACTTAAACTGCTTATATTACGAACAAGAGACTCCAATATACGCATGTGCAGAACGGACTGTGCAGCATCTTTAAATAAGGGTTGCATGTCCAATCAGAATCGTAAAATTTAGGGTTAACTGCGATTTAACTATACCCAAAATGTAGTTAAACTGCAGCCTGCAGTTAAACCATTTGATACAACAGGCCACCGCGAAGCGGAAAACCACGAATGCAGATCGAGAACAGCTTGGCAACAGCATATACGGCTTACAACGGCATGGAGATGGACTTTGAATTATATTTATGTTGCTATTCATGTCATGTGTGTTTCCTCGGATATCCTGGTAAAAATTCTCGCACCAGTCGCACGAGTTTTGTACATTCTCCCATTTGTTTCGTTCATCGCCTGATCCTATATAGATGTTCACGGTAGGCAACCTGAATTAACCAATAATTTTTGTCCTCAGTATAAGCAGATATAATGAAAGAGGCTAATGATAAAAAGCTAGGTACAATACCGTTCCGCTTTCGAATTTTTTGCTATATTTCAGCATTCATTTGACTAGTCTTTTCTTTTTTATAATAATTAATATTACACATATTACATTGTCATTCAAGTATAATGGGAAAAAAACAGATATCGACATATTGCAGAGACAGAAGGTGCAAGAATACACTATCTGGTTAACAGTTTAGCTAGAGGTTGTTCGCTTTTAAAATTTTAACCAAATTAACATAAGATTTTCCCCGAGCCGACGGCGCGAAGCGCCGTGCGAGGGTACTAATTCCCCCCGGCTATTTACACCCGGGGAAACGAAAGCATTAGCGGAGTCTAAAGTTCATCAAATATCGCGGGCGTGGGTGACCAACGATGGGTGGTCATCCTCACTGATCTCAAAAATATGGCGGACTGTCATGAATAGCGGACACCGATTGGTCTAGTTTAAATTTTGCATTATAACGACTGGCACGACTGCATCACGACGGCGAAATAGCAAACATTTCTTGATTTGATGATTGATAAATTTCTTGCAAATATACTTCATTTTTACTCGCATTTTTGCAAGATTTTGTAAATTTCTAAAGCTCTCTCAAAATGAAACTGCGAAAGAATCAGCTAAAAGAAGGGAGCCGACGTTAACGAAGGTAAGTTTGTTTTAAATATTGATTTTATAATGGCTTTAAAACCCGCCGGCAGTGACGGCCTTTGCGTATATGAAACAACTAAACAAACAGCATATAATTTTAGTGTATCTTTAATTAATATTGATTCCCTTTTTTAATATGATATTGAATTTCTAAATAAAAAAGAAAGCACTGAGTTATTTGCAAGCGAGAATTTGAAATCATTTTATTGCAAACTCAAAGTTTATCGATAAAGCCATTTTAAAAGGCAGTTTAGTTTTATAAAGAACTCTAGTGACTTTAAAACGTTTTGCGTAGCGTTTGTGGTCGAATTTTACCTTAAATTGAGGCTTATATTACGTATAATAAAATACCTAACATATATTTATGTTGGGAAATTAATAATTTTGTAATTAAAAGTGATATTTTTAGGCGATTTTTCATTTGTAAGAATATTCTTAAAAAATTATCGTGTTACCATGACAACTACTTTGGAACTTCATGTTCGGAAAATACAATGGTTTTGTCAGCAAGGCGAGGGTACTTCTGCATGCATGTATTTTCTAGTAAAATAT